CCTGGGTGTCAGCTCTTTCTGTTTGGCTGGCTTGTTTGTGTTTGTTGGGGGGGGGGGGGGGGGGGGGGGGGGGGTGTTCCTATTCAAAGAAACATGGATCCTTCCTATGTTACATTATTCGCTAGATGAAGCTACCCACAACTTAAAGGAGACATGAATCCTCCCGGTGAACTCCTTCAGTGTCATCAGAGGCTCACTGTAAGCAAATCCAGTCTCCCGTTTCCAATATAAAAAGGTCTAATTCAGTGGTTTCACTTGTATATAAGAACAAACTTTTAAACTCTTCGTTTTGACAGAAGCAACAGAATCTCAGCCCGGGTCTCCTCTTTCACCGACAAGCCAGCAATCGTGTGTGAATATAAAAAGCCAACCTCGAAACGCAAAAATGAAATCTGTGACCAAAATGTAACAGAAGTTAAAAACTGGCATGCTTTATACAACTAAAGAAAACCCACTTTCCAGGTCATGAAGGTGAGAGGACGTGAAGAAGTCAACAAAGAGGAGGAAATAGAAACGAGGAATCCATAGACATCTCACGAGTCAGCTACAGCCGCTGTCACAGGTTTACAGCCCGATTAACTTACTGCAGCACTACTATGGCAGGGCATCCATGTTTGATGACCAGACAGCTCAAGATTCAATAATATTTAATGATTTACACTTTGTTAGCTTCCTATGCTAAATGAAAGCATAATCCAACAATTTGAGTTTATTACACCGACAAACACGCTTAGATCCGTTGTTAAAGACTCGATAAATCTGAGCAGCACCGGTTTATACAACTTTACAAACGGCTAAATGTACCCAAATGTCTGACTCGTGTGATGTCAGTGTCTTCTCCTCCACCTCTCTGTTACAGAAGGATGGAAAGCAAACAACCATTTCAAAAATGAAACAAGCCCCGAGTTGCATCATCCTGCACTGAGTAAAATCAAACCCATCCACGTTTTCTTTAATGCACACACCTTTACACCCAATTACACCCTCAGATAACCCAGAGCCTCGTGTGCACTGGCTGCCATGCGTAGTGGGGGTGTTGAGAAACGCTACTTATGTAAACATTTCTGTGATTTATGCTTCGTTTACAGCACCGAATATCTTCAGATAAATTAAATAATTCGTCAGACGAGGAACGACTTTGAATACGAGCCGAGCTCACACGCAGATCAAATACTTCTGAAGAGTTGTTGGTGAGCGTTGAGCTCTCCACTTCTAGTCACACCAAGTGTTTACCTTCTCTAAGCAGCGACCTGTGAGTAATGTGTGGGCTGGACGAGGCTACAACTGGGACACGATGGAAGAGCCGATTTGTTTGTATGAGTTTAGGAGGTGAACGCTAAGTGCAAAAAGCCTTATTGCAACTCATCAGAATAATCACAAGATCACATGAAACAGCAGCTGCTTTCGTAATAAGACGAGGGGTGTCAAGCTGACAAGCTGTATACACAAAGAAAATTCATTTCCTTTTCCATTATCCTCAAAAAAACAAAACAAAGGTGAAGAAAGAAGCAAAATCAAGTTGGCTATCACTGCTGCAAACAGTGGCAACAAACCTAGAGTTGTAACACTGGCGGTTGAAGAACTACAAAACTAAAAAAGGGGCGACTGGCTGAACTAAAGTAAGCCACTGATGAAGCAGAGTAAAGTTACATGCCACCAATAGCCAGAGAGTGTAAGTGGCTACGAGCGGCAGATGATGAAGCCACAGATGTGCTCCTACCGGGCGACTCCACCGACAGGCAACGTCCACTGAGAGCTGCGATGATGAAGAAACAGAAAGAGCGGGTGGGTTGTTTTGAGTCTCTGACGAAGAGTTGGGTCCGCCATTTGGCATTGCAACTCGGTTTGATCATGGCCCTCACTTCCTTATTAAGGTGGTGGGTGAGGATGGGTGAGGTTAAGGGAGGGGCACACGCGTGTCAAGGGTTAAGTGGCTTGTCGAGCGGCACAGTGCGTTTTTCCATTCCTTCTGAGGACCATCTGCAGCCCCAGAATCAGTTGGTGACTTTCTTCGTTGTCTCCTGTCCAGGGCGGCGATGTCTGAGGAGCGTGTGATGTCGTCCAGACCTCCCAGTCTCTCTCACACACACACACACACACACTCTCGTGTTCTGATTGCAGATCAGTGATTTGTAGTAATAGTGAGGGGAAAGGAGACAAGGAATAGAATTCATTCAACATTTGAATACAGCGAACTGAGATCTTCAGTCCTTGTTTTCATTTTCAACCCGGCTTCTTTTGCACAGCCAGGCATCCGAATGTCTGTGCGTCTGTCCCACATAAGCCCATCCATCCCCCTCTCTCTCCTCGCCTTGGCTTTGAAGGCGTTTCCCCCCCCCCCCCACCCCCTCACACACACACATATAGGCAGGCAGCAGATCAGATCATCCTGTTGCGTTTGTGCGTAGGGGAGTCTGTGATGACGTCACTACACTGGGTGGAGTTTCGTTTCCTGGTTCCTCCCCCTCCGGCAGAGGCGGAGCCTGTAGAGTCCAGATGCAGCGCCATCTCTTCCGAGATGAAAGTGTTCAGGTCGACGTCTTGGAGGCCGTTGCGCCGGCTGCGGCACACCGGCCCCGAGCCGGAAGAACCGCCGACGCCAGCAGCGCCTCCGTTGCTGCTGCTCCCACTCACGTGTGTGGGAGACCCCGGAGCACCAGAGCGCACACTGATACTCGCCATGGCTCCACTCAAACCTGCGGGGGGAGGAGGAGGAGACAGGACCGGGAGGAGAGAGCAGAAACACACAGAGGGGCATCAGATGGAGAACTAAGATATAAGCAGGCATGAAAATCTTGATCACATGAACAACAGCAAGTCTGGTAGCAGCTGCAACCATCCGTCTCCGTTATTTACCGACTTTGCAATGTGGCAAGAACGAAGGCTACACGTACATCAACGGGGTCTTTTGAGTGGACCAACAGTGACGAACCAAGCAAGCACATCATTGGTGCATCAATCCAACAGTCAACATCTGTATTAAAGGTCAACACTTGGCTTTAAAGGCCGATATAAGAACGATAGTTTGGATCAGAAAAAAAGACTTTTAATCTGATGAATCATCCTCTGAATTTATTCATTAATAAGAGAATATACCGAGGTGTGATTTGGTGGATTACAGCGTTGGAATATGTTCTATGTCATAGGTCATGTGGCTCATGTCTGGCCAGGATTACTTTGTTAAATTACATTCTTACAAACCAGTAATGTGCCTATTCCAATGGTAAGGACGACCCTAAAGTGTGCAGTTTCATTTCATGAATGGATCGTTACGAGGACGGATTATTTGGAGGAGACGTTAAAGTAACGGTTGAATGATTTATTTTCCTCTCCGTCTCTCTGTCTTGACAGCGTTGCATGTTCTAGAGAGAACTTTTATGGGGAGATAAAGTGAAAAGGGGTCGGATATGACAGGATTACCACTAGCCCAAAAATCAGTACCAGACCATTATAACCCATACATTTATAATTCAACATATTTAAACAAAATCAACTATTCACAACCACAGTCATTACAACCTTAACTAATGTGTTGTTGCCAGTTAGATTATTAAAATGAGAGAAATAAAAGCTTCAATCCCTGAAGAGCTACAGTTAAGATCCTTAATGTCATACTTCCATTAAACAATGAATACTGAAGATGCCCATCAGAGAGGATTTAGAAGTGGTTATACGCATCATACCTGCATATAGCACTGCTTACATGACGAGCTAAATGTTACCTAAAACTAGACAGCCATAGCCTAAGACTACGTTACATGAATCTTGAAACAGCACAAAGTAACCTAAATCTGTAGCTAATGTCGGGCTACAGCTACATGTCGCAAAAATGACGACAACACGAAAGATTCATCACTTGATGAGTTTCACTAAACTCGACCACACAATATGCAGGTTGTGAAACAAACTGGCAACCACTTGGTGTGAAGTGAATGCAGTGAAAAAGGGGGATGGAGAGTGCAACATGTAGTTTCTGAATGTTATTAATAGCACCTTTAATCTTAGATCTAATTTAAAGATGTAAAGATCATACCACTTCCTCTCAGAGACAGAAGGTGACAGCAAGTAACCAGCTCTTTGACATGACTTCATCATTTGTTATTTCAGTGTTTCTGTCTCCATTTTGGATTTCAGAAGATAACGGGAGTCAAGTTCAAGTCTCTTCAGAATGACATCGACTCGGTGCCAAAACTTAGGCTGAACAAATCGACTCCCACAGCAATCAAAAAAACATGCGAGGCTGTAGTGAGGTTTCTGTTGCCAAGAGAGGTGACCGGTAGAACTTCAAAACCCAACATGGTGAACCAATCTACAAAAGAATGCAGTTGACAGAAGTGTGAATCCGTCCATGTAAATCAAAATGACTGTCTGTCCCAACACACTCAAACAGAAGTGGTGAAATGCAAATTGGATCTGATAACTGAGGAAGGAGACGTGCTGAAACCTCCTGACACAGTCCGAACTTGTGTTTCTGTAACCTAAACCACCAAATGCTGAACATCCTCCAGCCTAACCTCAGATACCCTTTAAAATGTGGGGACAGTCAGATAAAGTTTAAAATATCTAATTGCACCGACAGCTCACCAGAAGCACCAACGAACTGTCATGAAACTGAATAACAAACAGGAACAGCTGCTGAAAAGCAGGGTCATTGACAGACTACTCTGCTTTTGATTAAGTGAAATGTTCCCTCTTAAAACACACACACACACACACACACACACGAAGGTGAGGCCCTCTCTCACCACTGGTCAAAAGCACAACACACCCTTATCTCTGAGCCACATGCAGCAGAGGACCATGACTGAAGGACAAGCATGCTCCCTCAAATACAAACTCTCTCACTGATTTTCTATCCAACAACGTAGCTTCCTCCTGGGTTGTGACATATCCGATTGTGGTGTGTAAGGCGAGAGCCGGGCATGCACTTTACTCACCATGAAGTGCTATGGCCTCCCTGAAGGGCTGGAGGTCTGTTTCCACAGATGAGCCAGTCTCAGCTGGTGAATTCACCCGGCTGGGAGCCATCATGGCCAGCCGGGGGTTGGCCCTGCTACTCCTGTGTGGTGGTGCTTTGCCGCACAGAAAGCTGATAAGATCCTCCCGACGGATGGTTCTCCTGCGCTTTTTCACCCAGGCCAACATGTCCTGCAAGCCAATAAAAGTGTTATAATCCGTCAGTTAAACACGGCGTTTCCTCAACCAATCCTAATGCGTTTTTTCCCCCCTTCAACATCCCTGTTATGTAAACCTAATGTAGGCTGTAAGCACTGGTTTCCTAAATGTCAGACAAATAAGACAGGGAGGTGTAACATCACAGTTTGTCCAGATACGAGAGAGGAGGTGCCTAACAAAAGGGTAACAGAGGAACAAGACCCACCTTATTACGGCGCTGGTGGCCTATCTGGATGCCCCGATCAAAGCTTCTCTGATGGGCTTCCGCACTCTCTGTGAAGGCGAAAGACATCATAAAAAATATTCATTATGATCATGAAGTCCAAAGGGAAGTAAATATGCATGGTACTTTTAACAGGGTAAATGTTTTAGTCGAAGAACAGAAATCCTCAGAAAATCTTAGTATAATGGGTTCTAATGTATACATCTTTGGTTCTGTATGTTTAATAAAAAAAGACCGGCTGCTTTGAAACAGCAGCACATTACTTCCAAAGGGGGCCAACTACTCACCACTCACTAGCACTTCAGTTTTTGGGGAGTTAAACTGACAAATTAGGAGTCAAGTCTAGTACAATCTCATTCTTACTACAACAAACCACCTCTGTTTTACTGGTTAATTCCTGACATTGTTATTGAGAATGTTTCTGTTTGGCCTGGTGTAGTATAGTTTCTCTTTAACCCAGCAGTGAACATATCTTTCACTGTCATAGAAAACCCTACAAGCCCTGTGACAAGCTGCTAAATATGGAGCTGATAACAATGAGGACTAGGTCTGTTTAACATTTGATGGATTAGTTGGATGAGCACAAGTACAATGATAGACAACAACAGTCTGTACTGATAAAATGAAGCACAACAACAGTAGGTGTAGTAGTTTGCAGATCAATACACCCCGCTCAAAGGCACACAATTAGAGAGGAGGATGATGTGGTTAGATACCTTTGTAGAGGTTGGTCACTGCTGTTGCAGAGTTCTGAAATGGCACCCACAATGACAGACCCTGCTGATGGCATACTCTGTCTGTGGGAGGAGAAGGGGAAACAATGTTTGGTTTCTATTCCATAAGTGTGGCTGGAATTAAAAAGTTAAAGTGACCAAAAGGGACAACAATCAACAATTTGGGAGGAACAAACAGCATGGCGATTTATGTGGTTGAAGTGAAGATCATTTCCATTCGCCATTTTGTCTTCTGCATCTACAATTGCAGGGACAGGGTTTGGCATAAAAATAACTGTCAGCCAGCGCTAGATGGCCAGCACCGACACCAACTTATCTGCCCTCTCAGCAGTAAAGTTGCAAAGCCATGTCGACCAAGAATAAGCTTAACACGTCGCGCTCCGTCAGCGTGGACACAAATGTATCAGGTCTTGAGGCACGACAGTTGTATCTTATTGTACACAAACCATTATTTCCACAGCGAACAAATACTATCCTCGCCATTTTGTGATTATAACGCTAGCTACGCGTTGCTAGACAAACTGCTCACTCAGCAGCAAACGGGGTGTTTAAAATTACAAGTTCAGTGTTGTTAACTTTATAGCATATCTCAACAGTGCGTAACATATGGTAACACTGAGTATACAAGAGACTGTCATCTGGGAATGTCGCGTAGCTACGATTGTTGTTACCGTCGCCATTTTGTAACTAGCCGGGCTAACGTTACGTTAGCTTCTCTAACTTGTGTGTCAACACCCATCTCATTGACAAATATATTCGTGTTAACTTTAAGCTACTTTAATTATGTCGGTGAAACTAGATGTGTTGCTGTTTAACAATCGAACCAGGTGTATTATAACACAGGATTTCTTTTTTTAAACTGGCTAACACAGCTAGCTAAATTTAGCATTAGCTAAATCAGCTGTAAACGTTACACCCGGTACTGGCCAGCGAGTTCGCTCACGAGCTAGTTAGCATTCTAACTAGCTCATGGGCGAACCGACAGTGACGCGAACGTTAGTTTACAGTAAGCCAAACACTTTACGTTACAGGCTACGTAAGTAACGTTATAGTTAGACGAACAAGCTGCCTTGAACCTTTGTATAATTGTGCCACGGCAGTGGCGGAGTTCTGGAAGAGGTGCCACAGTTTATCCTGGTCGTTGTCGGCCTCCTCCTCGCTCGGCTCCCTTTGCTCCGCTTCGGACAAACACTGCCGCTCCCATTTTGAGAACCAGTGCTCGGGTCCGTGTTCCTGTATCTCCGAGTCTCCGTCTTCCTTCTTCTCCTCCATTTAATGCACCCGAAACTCAAGTAAAATGCGCTTATAATGGTGTTAATATGTGAACACTATATTAAAAAATGATGTGATTAAATCCATGAATAATGTTTTCTTTTTTAATATTTCGCACTACAGTATAACGTTGGACCCTATTTCTACCACCATCTGTGAAGATAAGCTTAGCTAACTATTTTTCCTAGACGCCGACGTCGAAATATATATAACGCAGCCTAGCTTGGTCTGCGCTACATCCCGCCTACCAGACCAGATGTCAACTATGATTGGCCACATGATCATTGAAGGCTGGACTTCAGAGCTTTACTCGGGATTTAATTGGCTGTCATATACGTACGTCACAGCATTGACACAAAAGAACCACAGTGAAAATTCCTCATTACTCAAGCTTGCGAGAGATTGCAAGTTTTGTCGTGAAAACTATAATATAATATAATATAATATAATATAATATAATTTTGTTTTGTTTTATCGTCATTATAATAATCTTCTGTGAGCTGACTAACAGACTTTATTAATCATATAAACTTCTATCTTTCGACAACAGCCAGCCATCCATTATTGAAATCCAAAAAAAAAAAACAAGCAAACAATTATTTAATATAGAACACTAACCGAAATCTAAAATGAGATGAAATACACATAAGTGAGTGAGTCATTTTTAAAATACCCAACTGCTACAGTACTCAAGGCCGAGTCCTGCTGTAGTTCTGTTTTTATCCACTGAATGATGCCATTTAGTCAAATCTGAAGGCTTGTCTGTTACAGCCAGGGTCTGGTTTCAGCACTGCAGATATAGACCAGTGTTAGAGCGTAAACACTGCTCTGGTGAAGGGAAAAATCCTGATTGGACGTAGGTTGTCCTACACAGTGGCACTACCCAATTATATAAGAGTTGAGTTGGTATGTTTCACCAGTGAGTAAAGTGTTTATTGCAAACCTTCGTTTTAATTAGATTTTTTTGTTCATCTTTGATTTATGTATGGCCTTATTCATTTGCATGATAGCTTGTATTTTTGCAATTTAGTTTGTTTATTGGCACATGGGTCCCTCTGTGAATTATAATGACAATGGTCAACTAGAGAAAGGTTGGAGGGCATTTTGGAGGATAAACAATTTAGGAATTGTGGATGTGCCTGGCCTAAATTATTACAGTTTTGTAAGTCCAAATTTGGCATCATTTAATTTTGTTTTTAATCGGTTAACAATACAATAATACAAATTAGCAGCATTTTTTCAAATTAAGAAAATAATTAGGTAAATATATATAGGCTATAAAAGAAAATCAATGTAAAAAAGTGAAGAAGAAAAAAATAAACAAAAGAAAACATAACACATGCCAGAGGTCAACATTAATAAATAGATAGCAGACTTAAAAACATTAAATTGGGAGCAGTCTCACAGTTTTTACACTATTTTACACTATTCACTATTTTTATATTTTGTATTACTGTCTTGATTGTCATCTTTTTTTCTTAAAAAGATTAAAGTGAGGTTTTACTTTAGCAAAGTTAAAATTATGAATGTAAACCTTTGCAACAACTTTCATGAGATTAATTAGACAATACACTTTCTAGAGTTTGTAGATAATTTTACAAATATCTTACCACAGTTTACGGTATGTATACATTTCCAGAACAGATGGACAATATAGTTTAAATTTGGGAATCACACAAGGCACAGCTTAAATTAAAGTAAAAGGTCCTAACCGGATGATTTCAGGTGACACTTCTTTGACCTTATTTACCAAAAATATTTTTGTTGTGGGAGAGTACAAACTTGTTTCCATCATAAAATGCTCAATATTGCTCAAATTGCCTAATACAGTATTTGAAGCAAAAGAGGCTCTGCAGTGATATCACAAATTAGGGTTAGCAGGCCCCTGGAAATTAAAAGTACATCACAAGATCAGCCTGTATAACACTTAATAAAATCATATAAATTAACTCAACTTGTAAATAAATAAATAAGCAAGTAAATACAAGTAAAAGTAATAAGTAAATAGAACAAATTAAGATGAAAAAACTATAAGAGATGCCAAAAAGCAGCAATGTGCTACCACAATCAGGTGCAGGTGCCTTATAGAGGAAAGTAGCTAATAGACATTCTGCAGCACAATGTAAAAATATTGCTTTGGAGTAAAAATCCTGCATTTGTGTTTTACTTGAAGAATGACCCTACAGTCAAATTTGTGTTTACTTTTACATTTACTTTAATTTGGTTTTATATGCTGCAGGTCCATTGTTTGTTTTACCCATAAAACTCGTAATTGCTCATGTTTTGCATACAAAATTTAAATTAGCAGGCATAACTGCAGCTGTTCAACATTGCTCAGTAAAAAAGTTAAGAATGTTTGCAGTTTAGTTGCGAAAAATAAGGTGTTCCAACGTGCACTCACACGCATGCCAGGCCCTGTCATTCCTATAATTTCCATTAATCTGCTAATTGTTGTTGGTATTTATGTTTTATTCCCCCCGTGCCCGATGCACACGCCTGATCCCGATCCCGATCTTTTTACATGGATGTGAACCGGGGATGGGCCAGTGTTTAGATCTCCATGCGGATGTGACATTTCAGAGAAGAGCGCGACCGCCATTTTGAGATTTACCTCAGACTCCACACATCACAAACCACGGGAGAGCGGGGTTTGAGAGCCAGTTAACGTTGTATGACCGGGCACATTCCTCACAAGAAACAAGAGGGCGAGCTACAAATGCAAAGAGGTGCCGCGTTTTGTCGTGTATTGCGTTAGGAGCCGTTGTGCGTGATTTGGGTTTTATGGTCGGGTCGTTGCAACTCTCGTCTCCGCGAACTTCCAAATCAACACTAGTCCTATTCCGTAGTGGAAGCTGGTTTGAATGGATAGCTTCTTCCTCCGCTCTTCCCCAGACGAGGGACAATCTGAGGAGCACACGGACTGGGGATATCGCAGACAAAGTTGTTGAATGTGTGTCTATATAGCAAAGGAACCGTTGTTTTCATTGTTGTACCTATATCACCAGTTAGCTACCTATTGTCAGGTAGCGAAACGCTAGCTATATAAACAGGGTATTTGTTCCTTAAAGGGGCAAAGTCGTGTTGTGCGTTGTCTTGTTGCCCCACATTTCCCGGTGGTAAAAGCCGGATTGATTAAAGCTAATTTCAGTGGGCCCAGGTCCATCCATCCCACCGTCAAAACCAGCGACTCCTCGCACCCACAAAAGGCGCCGAGATTGGGCGAATAGCGAGCAAATACGTCCGCGTTTCTCTACCCGCTCCCCCGCCGACCTCCCCTCCTCGCTCCCCGGCGCTGACAGCGGACAAGGCCGAGGTCGCGACAGAGCAGGCCCGGCCGCCGAGGCTCGACCTGTGCACCCCACCTCCTCCGCATCCTACCACCACACCTCCTCACCAGCAGTCCAGAACCAGGTCCACCGCCGAGCCCACCCTGGACAAGGTCGAGGGTAGTAAGAGAAAGGAGCACTGCATCACCACCACAACAACAACAACAACAGCTGCCGACATGAACCACCACCATCACCACACGCAGCAGCAGCAGAAAGCCGGAGAGCAGCAGCTCAGCGAGCCAGAGGACATGGAGATGGAAGGTAAGAAATGGTCCAAAGAAGGGTGAACTTACACGTAACAGCCTATTTTTCATAATTTAACAGCGGCGCGAGAAATGCATTAAGTTGTATGCTCAACTCTACAGTAAACACGAAGGCCCGACGCTAGCCAGGATAGCCGATTTTTTTTTTTTTTTGCTGATTGTGCGTCCGTTGCAGCACACTTGTGTGGATCTGACCTCATTTTGCGTTATAAGCGAACTGGAGCTGGGATTTCTCTCCGTATACTTCCAAATATTACATTCCCCGTAACATAACCCCAAATGAGCTGTTGATCCACATTGTCAGATATTAGCCACACTAATCATTCATTAGTATCGAGCACTGTTTTTAATAAATATACTGTTTTTGTTCAAGGTTCTCAGATGCAGTTTTACCAAATCATCGCAATCGTGAGTCCACATTACGTCCATGAAACTCTCACTGGCTGATGATAACCTGACGTTACACGTTTGTAAACAGTGCGACTGTTAGCCTGTAATTAACGTGGAACCATCGCTAAGGACATTAATCCTGCTGCTTTGACTTCACTGTGGGTTGATTCTTGACAGTTATCGGCACCTGCGGTCCTCGTCAAAGTGTAGCCGTTAATGTGATCGAACTAATTCTAACGTAAGTTTTTTTTTTTTTTTTTTTTTTTTTTTTTTGTTTGTTTTTAATTTTATTTTTTTTTTTTTTTTCATTGACTCATTGACGTGAAAACATAGACCGTTAATTAACGTTGGGCATGCAACGTTAAGCCAAAAGATAGTGTGTTAGCATCGTGTCTGATGGCTCGTACATCAAATGTGGGCCTGCAGAGTACGTTAACGACACCGGGTGAATAACATTACAAGGTAAATTATGTTAGTTTGCCCGCAAAAATGCGTTAATTGCATAATCTGTGTTGTAAATACGTTTGCCGGGTATCTGTATTACTTGCACTTATGTGTTCAATACGCTGGTAAAACGCAAATGTACATTGCTAGCGAGACAAGCTACTTTTAAGCCAGTCCGTTAGCTTCGAGGCCCACCTCGTTGCATTCATTCGCTGGCTAGCATGCTAGTTAGCTGATCCGCTAACACTCACGGAGGGGGTGTGTGGCGTTCCAAAATGGCGGCTTGTATTTTTGCAACGTTCGATTCAGATGTTGCTCAAATGTTAGGCCTTGAATATTTGCCTCACGCGATCGAGTTTTTCCACTTGTCTCTAATGGCTGTGTACCGTTTTAAAGTACATACGTTGGGTGTTTCTTTTTTATTCAGCATTTCTGGTAGCTAGTTAGCTCTTATGATTCCAGCTAATGTTGGCTAATAACGGCCTGCAGATGAATAAATGGCTGGTGTTTGCTAGGTAGCTAGCGCTAACGCAGATGCGTCGATCGTGATTTGCTAAATTGACTGTGGGGATAACACGTTTAGCTATGTCAGCAGAGCAGATGACAATCCGGCGGACGTAAATGTAAATCATGTTGATGTTTAGTTAGTTTATACTTTGATGTTTGACAGTGTTTTAAGTGAAACGTGTGGCTAGTGACGGTAGTCGCCGCTGCGGTAAGCCAGGCCCGCACAGAGACAGCGCGGGGATTTGCTGCTTCATTGTATGGACGACGACCAGACGGCATGGAGCTCGCCATTTTTAATGATCTCTGTTATTGTTAGTAAGCTTTTGTAGCCAGGGCCACCTATGTTACCGTTTTAGTAAGCGTTTTACACGCAGAACACCCGACCTAAACACCATTTTATAAAGTTTGTTTTTTTGTTAAATGTCAACTCTGTACAGGATATTGGCTTGAGGGAGCCTTCAGCATCACTGCGTCATTTGGTCCCAGTGATTTTATGATCTGTTCGCACACACTTTGTTATTTTCCTGCATGCAAATTATATTTTATTTTATATAATTTCAGAAATGAGCAAGTGGAACCAGCACCGGGCATCATTTATATGTTTCAATCGTTGATTTTAATATTTGTCTTCCTAGCAGCAGGTGCATTCACCAGACTTCCTCACCCTTAATTGCTGGTTTACCCATGTTGGATTCTCTCCCAGTGCACTGCAGCCTTACAAGGGCAGTGAAAACAAGTTGACATAATAAACACATAACACCTTTCCTTTACTGCATGAGGCTTCATACAGTTGCGGTGTAATCCATCTTCTGCTCTTCATATCTCCGTCATTTACCACAGCAATCCTACCAGGAGGCCAGGCTGATGCGGCCACACCATCAGTGTTAATGTTTGCCACGGCTCTCGTAACATGTAGGAAATTATTAGAAAACAAACATAATACAATTTCTAAACATATATCTTTCCTATAAAATCCAGTTTGTCTAATAGGACATAATTAAGTACTAAGATGTAAGTAGATAATTGCTTCACAGTCATTCAGTGTTATTGATTCTTCATGAGATTGTTGAGGGGATGTTTTCATACCTTTACTGCATTGGTCCACAGGAGAAACATAAGTTACTTAGTCTAATGCATCAAACAGCATTTCAGCATCTTCGTGCCAAGCAAGTGTAGCAGGATCGACTGTGCTCTTATAACCTTGTTGCTGTAGGTTAAAAGCACACCTGGAGTTTTTCTGTTTGCCCAGAATACAGTTGTCTCAGGAGAAAATCTGTCTTGATGATGATTACCGTTAATGAAAAATTAGGAAAGATTAGAATACTTTCTTGGCACTTCTCTCTTGAAATTGAAAGTCGTAGCAAGTATTAAAATACTGAGATGCTTCTTGGAAATATTTATAAATGAATCAATGTGTTGAGATGCTTCGGATTTCCACCTTTCACCTGTGTAGTTTTGAGTGTGTTGTTTTTTGTCATATATTAAATTATTGGAACCATATCCAGCTTCAGCTTGTGGAGATTGCGGGGTCTGATGAATTAGGAAGTACTTCTCAGAGGTTTCTGGATAGACCGGCACAATGGGCGGGGCAAGAAGTTGTCATGGATTTGACTGACAGACCCCATTAGCACCATGTAATCCACTTGAGGAAACGAGGTCAGTCTCCTGGAGGACTCGGCCAGTAACGTTACCTGGAGAGACACACACCCACAACTGACACCATTGCAGCCGTCAGCTCGGAGGAAGACAAGGATCCCAGATACACGTGAAATACAGTGTAAGCGGCAGATTGACACATCAACATGTTTGGAGACATGTGCCTGAGTTATATCAATGTTGTTGTTCTGGTTAAGTCTGGCTGCTGTTGCATTATTGTCATCACAGGATGCAGGCAGATTTCAATCACTCCTTGGAGTCTACTTCAAGCTCATCTGTTATCAATCCGTTTCCATAGATGAGACTATATAGAGCCGACTCATGATACGGAAGGATCATTGTTGTCCTCTGTGCGCGTGTGTTTTTGTTTGAGCGATGACTGGCAGCCTAATCCTGCATTGTGTCCATAATTACCCAGCCTACTGTAATGTCCCATGGTCTTTGTCATACACACACATTCTCGCTCTGACACACAGACTGGGAAAGACCATGCTGTCTCAGCAGTGAAATGTATGAAAGGGGCCATGAAGGATCTCTATGAAATGTGGAGATGCAGTAGATAAATATGGAGACAATAGTTAATATAAAAAAAGTCTGATCTTGGTCGATGCTGTATTTATGGAATAAATTATGGTAATTATCAGATTTTAAGTCCTGCTCTTTTAAAAGGTGCACACATTCACAGCAACTTGGCAAAATAAGCTTTCTTGTCTAATCTCATCCCAAATGTTCCCATAATTTCCAATCGGGGACAAAACTGCATTAGCAAAGGTATTGTAGGATGTATGAGTTCTGATTTGTATATTCATGTTTTCTGGAAATAAAATGCTCCAATGGTAGTAAGAAAGTAATCCAGCTCAACTTTAAGTTTTAAATGGTTGTTGCTTTTGACTGATAAACATGGATTACTGTGTGTGTGTGTGGGTGGTTTTAATGCCATATTGTATTGACCTTGGTCGGGTAATCCGTTTTTGTTTCTGACCTGCTGAAGTCACACATTCGTCAAAGGCATCGGCAAGCTTTCCTCCAACTGAAGAAAGGTCTCTAGCCTGCTATCTATGCTAGAACCATCCAGTCTTATTCGAGTGTTCCTCTCTTTGTACAGCTGGAGACACAGACGACCCTCCAAGAATCCCGGCCAACCCAGTGATCAATGGTAACGTGGCCATGGCAGATGGACACAACAACACAGAGGAGGACATGGAGGATGGTGAGGATGATGTGCACTTACACTAACAAACACCATTACAAACTCCAAGCACTTCTGCATGAAATGAGAAATACCAGGTGCTCTTGGTTGTGAACTAGGTAAACTCCAGATGAATACAAGGTGCTCTTGGAGTCATATTACTCAACTTTAGAACAAAGGGAAGCCTCTGGGCTTACTTCCGTTACGCTCACACTAAGGCTGTAGTTAAAATGCCTTAATGAGTTTAGTGCATATCAAAGTAAAAACAAACAGTAAAATGACTCACTCTGGGTCTTCCTCTGGGCGTGGCTAGAATGAGGTGTCCACACTTTAGATTGTTTCAACGCTTGTGCTGTGAAAGTAAATGTCTCTTAATGATCCAGGTTTAACATGATCCAATGAGTTACTGGTCAGCTAATTGGCTGTGGGTTTGTTGGTCTCGCATTAAGTTGTATCCACTGACCGGTTGCACCTGGTCTTGAAAGCTGGAGGAAATCTGTTCGGCATCTCACCGTTCCACCTGTCAAACTCCATCTTTCCACAGACACCAGTTGGCGGTCAGAGGCGACTTTCCGCTTCGTAGTCGAGCGCTTTAGCCGCCTGAGTGAGTCCGTGCTCAGCCCGTCCTGCTTCGTCCGGAACCTTCCGTGGAAGATAATGGTGATGCCGCGCTTCTATCCCGACCGGCCACACCAGAAGAGCGTGGGCTTCTTCCTGCAGTGTAACGCAGAGTCCGACTCCACGTAGGTGTCTCGGTGGGACAAGGGATTTGGGGGACATTGCAGAGACGCACGGGCACACTTGAAACATTTGATGGTTCTTGGTACACATTGGGGCCACCCTATGTCACCCTAAAAAAAGCCCATAAAACTAAATTGCCACTTTACGCTCAACTCAACTCGCTTGCTCTGGTACTTGTTCACGAATAGCGTTATTTTAGATAACATTAAATGAACTATTTCCAGAGTTATAAATCGTTTTTTACGAGGACACCTTTTACAAAACTGGTGTTCAGTCAGTGCAGACATTTCTAAATTGAGCCGATTTATTCATTTCCAACAGCGGTCCTGATGACCTGATCTTCTAGTCAAGTACAAGTACTTTGCCTCAAAGGACTTTTAGTCAAAAGGTGTTCTTCAGAGCTGCCACCAAGAAACGTTAAAGGAAGAGAAGTTAGCTGTTGAGGCCCGATCACCACATTTCTTCATTTATAAACCTTTTCTGATCATAGAATTGGTGACGGTGTTAAATTGTTGACTTTGTTTACCACAGGTTGTTTGTTTTGTGTTACATCATAGATGCAATAAATGAAGCTCACTGTTCACTTCCATGTTCTTTTGTTTTTGGAATATTAAATCTTTATTAATGTTTTATAGTTTTTCATGAACCTCAACAGAATCTTAACTAGTTAACACTCAGACGGCTCATTCCCACAACATGGCTGCAGAATTCCTCAATAACAGAATGTGTTAAATCTGTAACTAGCTCCAGATCTGCATCGACATTCATGGGATACATGATGCAATCAGTTGTTTATTCATGAAGTAAAAATGATAGTTGTTTTGTAATTAGATTTCTGGATTCTGTTGTTTTAGGTCATGGTCGTGCCACGCTCAGGCCATGCTGAAGATCATCAACTACAAAGACGACGAGAAGTCCTTCAGCCGCAGGATCAGTCACCTGTTCTTCCACAAAGAGAATGATTGGGGCTTCTCCAACTTCATGTCCTGGAGTGTAAGTCCAGAAACTGAGAAATATTGGCTTGTTTGTTGAAGATGCTGATAGACACTGGCAGGAACACAATATACATATATTTGTTGATGGATTGACAGAAGAGGCTTTGCTGTAGCATAATGCATTTGCACATTGTCCATTTGGACCTCTTATTCATAAATAAGAGTAAGAAAATGCGTTTTCTTCTATCTCCTATTGATATGAACCGTTTTGGTGGTGTTGTGTTTCAGGATGTGACCGATCCAGAGAGGGGCTTTGTCGATGATGACAAAGTCACATTTGAAGTCTATGTCCAGGCAGATGCCCCACATGGAGTGGCGTACGTAGCTCCTAATTCTCTCTGGGTTGGGGTTTTTACAATGGTCCCTGGTTTCATTTTCTAACATATAACATCATCTTTTTCTCTGTAACCAGATGGGATTCAAAGAAACACACAGGCTATGTTGGACTAAAGAACCAGGGAGCTACCTGCTACATGAACAGCCTGCTACAGACACTGTTCTTCACCAACCAGCTACGACGGGTATGGTTTGCTCTCTGCATCTGTGTCGGTTTCTGTGCATTTTACACGTTAGTTTAGTGAACATAATGTTTATTTAATGTGTAAATATGTGCACTACAGCTTTAGTTCAGTGTGTGTCCACTTTCAGTTTCACACACATCAATCTGCTCACTGTTGATGAATCAGAATTGTTACTTTTTGAGTATGCAATTAATGCCACCGCAAACCACACCCCCAGTGTTGTTTGGACGGGACACACACTTGTTCCCTCCAGGTGGTTCACATGATGTGTATATATACGATAATTAAAATTGAAAAAAAAGGGGGCCATATTTGCAGGGCGCACTGGTCTCCTAGTTCTAGAATTTATGAGCACTGTGCAACAAATGGTTGCATTGTGGAGCCCTTTAATAAACCGTAGTGTCACTGCTGTGGCATTGCTTTTTCCAGAAGGAGCTCTAGAAATGAATTGTACTTGTCATGAAAATAACACATTTTAATATAGAAAATGAGTAACTTCCACATCCGAGTATTATTGTCCGAAGCTAAGTGTGACTCCTCTCGACTTCCTCCCCAGGCGGTGTACATGATGCCCACAGAGGGAGACGACTCCTCCAAGAGCGTTCCCCTGGCTCTGCAGAGGGTTTTCTACGAGCTGCAGCACAGCGACAAACCCGTCGGCACCAAGAAACTCACCAAGTCCTTTGGGTAGTGTAGACTTTTCTTTGTAGGCAGCTCACCTGTCCTTTGTTTTACAGAGGCACAGATCGATGCTGTAATATGTGTTTTCTTGTTGGCATTGAAACGCTCTAAACATTGAAAATGTTGAAATCCAGATGCTTTTTCACACTTAAAGACTGCGTTGGATATTATTTTTAGTAGAATTTTAAATGGTTACAAGCCTCACATCTTTCCTGATCTGTGAGTATTGTATCTAACTACCTTGTTGTGTTTTCTTTTTCCTTATGTGAAGATGGGAAACACTAGATAGCTTCATGCAACATGATGTACAGGAGCTGTGCAGAGTGGTGAGTTCTCTCATATGCCCTTACAGAATGTGGGTGTGTATGCATGCTGAATAGATACTGACTGTGTGTGTGTGTTTGTGTGTTTTCAGCTCCTGGACAATGTGGAGAACAAAATGAAAGGCACCTGTGTTGAGGGAACTATCCCCAAACTCTTCAGAGGAAAGATGGTGGTATGTTTCTTTGTCTCCAGCTCTTCTTGTCTGACTTGTCCTCCTGGTTTCAGCCACATTTTATGTAGTTGTTGTGAAAGTCCACCGTGAGTTAACTTTTTATTGAGACTGATACTGTTTATTTATCAGAGTACATGGTAAAGCCAGTGCAGCATGCATTATGTAAACATTGCTGTACATCTAGTTGATGTGAAGTAGTCTAACTTAGTACAGGATGCAGCCTGGAACAAGGTCAGTTTAAGAATAGACCGAGGTTAAATCAAGCTGTGACCCTGTTTAGAAATGACATTTTTGACTTGCTAATTCTATCGTACAATCTGAAGTGTGTGTGTTTCTCTCTAGTCATATATCCAGTGTAAGCATGTGGACTACCGGTCAGAGCGGATAGAGGACTACTATGACATCCAGCTAAGCATAAAAGGAAAGAAGAACAGTGAGTACCAACATCAGCACCACTTCATTTTCTCCAACAATGAATCAGTGGTGCTGCAGCAGATTCAGTTTTTTATATAATGAATTGGTTTAAACATTCCTTTTCTCTGACATTTTGCCATGAATAGATGTTGTATTTCCAGTTAACTCCCATCTGCAGTATACAAGACCTGTTTCTGAATTTACCAATATGGCATTTTGCTTGATCTCATCTTTGCTTTCTGCTTATTTCCAGTCTTCGAGTCGTTCAAAGATTATGTTGCAACTGAACAGTTGGATGGCGACAACAAATATGACGCAGGAGAGCACGGCCTGCAGGTAAGAATCTAAATTATTTGTGTCTTTTTGTTCGAGTTTATTTGCTTACATTTAGTTTCATTTATTTTGCTATATCTTATATGGTATTTATGCTGCAACCACTGAGGAGAATGAATGGGATGTACTGACCGGATGACACATTTGTTGTATTACAGGAAGCAGAGAAGGGGGTGAAGTTCCTGACCTTCCCTCCAATCCTCCATCTGCAGCTGATGAGGTTCATGTATGACCCGCAGACCGACCAAAACATCAAGATTAACGACAGGTAGAACAAAAACACCAGACTTCATAATGTTTACTTGTACACTGCCCTGCTTGAATCAGATCTCTGCTTGTCGCACACTGCGTCGGTGGCCGGTGGTTAGACACAGGTTTAGAGATGGTCTGGTCCATAATCACATAGGTTAAAGGAGCAGTCTATTTCCAGAAACGGCCCTCGAGCCGGTGATCTCTGAAAGAGCACGCCCTGACCTGCTGCACTAAAACAAGTGAGTCACTGAGTGTTTCCTGCAGGCCGTATCGTTCTGTGTAAAGCTTTTCGGGAGCTAATGGTGTTTTAATAATCCACCAGGATAATGTGACACTTTGTGAACACGCACGCAGCCGTCCAGAATAGTTAATGTCCCCCTGAAGCTCTGAGTCATCCGTGTGACACTGCCACGGGCACCTGGCCCCCTGAGGGCTTTGTATAAGTATATACACACATCCAGAGTGTGTGGCTATGCAGTCTCGGGAGTTAAATGATGGCGGCTTCAACTCTCGCTTTCTTTTCTTGCATAAATTTGTTGTTCCGAATGTTAATGGCTTAGTCGTCCGTCCTCCTCTTTCCTCTGCAGGTTTGAGTTCCCGGATCAGTTACCTCTAGATGAGTTCCTTCAGAAGACGGACTCCAAGGACCCGGCCAACTACATCCTGCATGCCGTGCTTGTGCACAGCGGGGACAACCACGGCGGTCACTACGTCGTCTATCTTAACCCAAAGGGAGACGGCAAAGTTAGTGTCAAGGAACCAATTGTGAGGACACTTTTTTTTTTTTTTTTTTTTTTTTTTTAAATGTATATACACCAAACATTCTGTGGGCAGTGTTGGGCTTTCTGCACTAATAATGCTACCAGCTATTCTCATTGTGTGGTATTAACTAAACTATGGGTGCTCAACTTCTTTAGATATGAGATCTACTTCAGCATCACGATGAGTAATTTGATATGATGACATTAGACTAAAAGTAAACATGTTTTATAGTGTTACTATCTTTTACCACATTCAAAATGAGCATAAGAATGTTCTCTCTCTCTCGTTACGATGTAGACCTTAAAGAATAATGTGGAACTACAGCTATTTATGTTCTACTTATTTACATGAAATTAAATGCATAGAACATTCATTTCTCTCTGGCCTTTTTAAACTGACTCCAGAGCCAAGATGAAGAATATTAGCTGCCACTTCTTTAGTGACAAATCACTCCATACATAGTCAGTGTGTTAACTACAGGAGATGATGTTCTGTACCCTACTGGGGGTCGTCGACCACCATCTGTAGATAATACAATGTCTAAGTATCCTCATACAGCCCCACATCAAAACACCCAAACCGTCCCTTTGAAAACCAGGTGAAGCATTTGCTGAACTACCTACTAATTGACATTTAATGGTCCGATAAGCTACTTGAGAGAAGGCCATCTCACCACTTAATGTCAAGACCAGTGTTGAATTAGAGACATAATAAATACATTCTGCCAGTCAGGAGTATAACTAACAACAATCCAGCTTTGTGCCGCTGACGATGCATAATGACATTTAACATTACGGCTCAGTCATTGTATTGTCTGTTGTAGTAGTAGTAGTAGTGGTACATCTGAAACCTTCTTACACACTTGACACCTTTAACCGCTCCTGTCTCACACAGACACGTTAGTCGGCACTAATGTCGTGTACTGTCGCTTATTTTGTGATTGATGGTCACTTGGTTGAGCACTCCTGTACGAGTCATCCTTTTTAAGAGAACAATGGGAAGTTAATAGATATGCATTTGTTAGTTTTATGAATTTTCATGTTGTTTTCAGTGTTGATTGAAAGCCTGACAAACAGTTGTCTTAAGTGAGCTCTGGTTTTCTCTTTCTTTCCCTCCAGTGGTGTAAGTTTGATGACGACGTTGTGTCGCGGTGCACCAAGGAGGAGGCCATAGAGCACAACTACGGAGGACACGATGACGACCTCTCAGTGCGCCACTGCACCAACGCGTACATGTTGGTCTACATCCGCGAGTCCAAGCTCAGTGAGTGACATGCTCCTCTCCTTCTGCCTTTCTGGCTAATATTAAACAGAGATTTTCCCATAAAAACATGACTTATTGTCCTCCACTGCACCAGCTGATCTGTCTTTAAGTACAGCACTACATACTAGGCCTGGGCGATATGATGAGAGGATCGTTCAACACGATACTGGTCCTCACATATATTCAGTCTTTGTCTTCTTCTCTATTGATCTCAGCACGCCCTCCTATAAAATAGCACTTAGTGCCTGTACACCGTGGCCACTTATGGATAATGCAACATATGCTTCTCCATTCTAAATATATTTGTCTCTTAAGCTCTTTTTGGATAAAACTTTAGAATATTGTTTTTCTTAAAGCGATGTCGTTGGTAGAGTATCGCCCAACCTTACTACATACATGTGTGGCAAAATGTAATTCCGGTTTCCACTTCTTCATTTGGTGATTGACTTACTCCCGTTGACATCCATAGTTTACTGCCTTAAAGATTATAGTACGCACCAATGTTACTGTGCTGCACTCGATGATCCTCGCATCTCTCCTTGTGTCCCAGGCGAGGTGCTCCTGCCGATGACTGACGTGGACATCCCCCAGCAGCTGGTGGAGCGTCTGCAGGAGGAGAAAAGGGTGGAGGCACAGAAGAGGAAGGAGCGCCAGGAGGCTCACCTCTACATGCAGGTCCAGGTAGGATACCAGGACGGCTGTCTTTAGTGCTCTGAGGTGCTGCGAGGCTTTGCACACTTTGCTGGTGCAAGCTGCTGAGTGCAGATGATAATGATAATAATAATAATAATAATAATAATAATAAGTGTTGAGAGCACATGTCTGCCATGTGGGCTTTAAGTTTCACAGACTGGAAGGTACAGTGGGAACCTGAAAGCGTTGCTCACATTTTTGTGGCAGTGCTGGACAAGTAGGTGCAGCAGTGTAGCACTAGTGGTGCCAAACCAGCAGATTGGCTTCTTACATACTGTGATGTGCTGCTCCATTACGTTAAGTCTGCTAGAGTGCATAGCTGCATACCAAGATCTTTATGTAGGATCCATCTAACCAGATATCTTTCTGAAAAGATTTCACATTAGCAGTTGAAACTGCACTGGTTTAATTGACTTTTAACATGAAAATACTTGTAAAAGTGCTGAGATATGATTTCATAGTTGGATGGAAACAACTATTTACCTGATCAGCAGATTATAACATACCTATCTTCTGTATGAATTACCAGGCCTATTATGCATTAGCACTCCATCAATACAATTCTACCTTGAAATTAAATTTAAAAAACATTATTATGACATAGTTTTGTATTGGAACATACCTATAAGGTTATCAAAGGGAGCAACAAAATGGCCAACTCCACCTTTCTGTAAAGCTGAGTCGACGGTTGTTTTCTCTGACTGAGAGAACGTGGGCGCTGTGGCAGTCAGTGTTGTCGAGATGGTGAGAAGAGCAGCGAGTGATACTAAGGAAACGGCTTGTTAAAAGATAAGAAAAGTTTATCCTGTTCACAGATGTCAGCAGCGCTGCCTTTATATAATTGAGCCAAGTATGAGGTCGGGACAAAAGGTTGTTTTCTCGTTATTCCTTCTCTCTGCAGAGGCAATGCGAGGAAACTCCTATTCATTTGTTAAAACTGAGATCTCAGCGACAAAACAAAAAATACTACTAAATGCAGTTAGTGATCTGACACCTCACTGCAGTTTGTTTCCCAAGAGTTCTCACTTCTCATGTCCCGGGTCCAGTCTGAACTAAGTCACTAAGGTTGTTTTCTTCTTGTTGTCTTCCTCATCAGATCGTAACAGAGGACCAGTTCTGTGGTCATCAGGGCAACGACATGTATGACGAGGAGAAGGTGAAGTACACCGTCTTCAAGGTCCTGAAGAGCTCCACGCTGCAGGAGTTTGTCCAGACCCTCTCTCAGACCATGGTGAGAAAAATGGATCCGACTAATGTATTTTTTAAAATGTATTCATCCCGCATGCACCGTATATCCAGTCACTGTTTTTTAAACGCGTGTCTGAGAGAGAGGCTTGTGGTTTTTCCTGTTTGTTAACTAGCTAGACAGACACAAAACATGTACACACACTTGTCTGAAATCTCCCTCCCACTGATCAACAGTTGATCAGTACACCATGCTGACTTAAACAGAAGTTTTTGTCTTCAATGGTCTCTAAATGGTTGTAATCTCGAGCCCTCACATGACTGTTTAGATCTTCTGTTCTCCCACCATATTGCTTCTTTACGCCTTTTGGGCTTTTCCATTCATCTTTTTTTAATAAGTGTGAATTAAATGAATCTCTGCTGTTGTTTCGCTGCAGGGTTTCCCACAGGACCAGATGAGGCTGTGGCCCATGCAGGCCCGGAGCAATGGAACCAAGCGACCAGCCATGCTCGACTACGAGGCCGACTGCAGCAAGTCGGTGAGTGTTTGTGGGCGTAACCCGTGTTTGTATTTTGGTACTCGATGGGCATTTTTGAAACGCCTTTGTCTGCTGTTTTCCGTACAGTCAGGTGAGAAGCTGCCACTGCATCATCACTGCCTATCCAGTACATTTATCGTTCTGGGACACTTTTCATTTAAGTTACAAAAGTAACCCAAAGACCTATCAGTTATTCTTGGAGCCCCCCCCACACAGTGTATATAACGTGTGGTCCACTCGTCTGTAATATGTATTTTGTTTTTAAAAGTTGGTGCATGTTTGTGTTCCAGATGATCGACCTGAGCGACAATGAGAACCCCTGGACAATATTTCTGGAGACGGTGGATCCAGAGATGGCGGCCAGTGGGGCCACATTACCCAAGTTCGACAAAGACCGTAAGTCCACCACGTCGACCCTCATCCAGCCCAGTGTTGGCAGCGTTTTCGCACCTCGTTTTGTTTTGACTTGTAGAGCTCAGGGACTTGTTCTTTAGGTTCAAACGTCTCAGCATGACCTCTACATCAAAGTTTTATTGCTTCAAACTGACTTTGCATTGAGTTTGTTGGCACAGACGTACTCCTACTAGAAATGCTGCTTCACAGGTTATGATCACCGGCTGTTACTGTTCACATTGTGGTAAATGCATGATGAATGTAATAATAATAGGAGTGGTGTTGGGTTATTGTGTGTAACTTGAGTTGACTTCTAGTTGTTATCATTTAAGCGATGTCTGTGATATGCTGTCCACCTGCTGTAGCAACAATGTCTTTGTCTCTTTGTTTTTAGATGATGTCATGTTGTTCTTGAAGATGTATGACCCCAAAACCAGAAGCTTAAATTATTGTGGACATATCTACACACCTATATCCTGCAAAATAAGTAAGTGGTGGCCACATCAGTATATTTGAAGCTTACCACGCGGTCGAACTTCACATAAAAATGCCTCAAGATTTAAAGTCGTGTTTCTGTTGCTCTTTTTCGCCCTGTTACCAGGAGACCTTCTACCAGTCATGTGTGAGAGAGCAGGGTTTCAGCAGGAAACTAGCCTTATCCTCTATGAGGTGATCTATTTATGTAGCGCTCACTTACTGGCACATTCCTCTGCTCTTTTCCTCACTTGTTCTCACTCTTCACAGTCGTGTGCTCTTCTATCTGGCACTCAAGTCGTGTCTCACAACCTCTCCTGCGCACACTTTCACACCGTTACATGCAGCACGTCTCTTTCTGCTAACATTTGCTCCTCTGTAGTTGTGCGTTTACACATTCTTGACGAAATACTCTTACCAGACGGCTTCATTCTGACTACATTTCCCACGATGCCTTGTCTGTTACAGGAAGTAAAGCCCAATCTAACGGAGCGGATACAGGACTACGACGTCTCTCTGGACAAGGCCCTGGATGAGCTCATGGACGGTGACATCATTGTCTTCCAGAAGTAAGGCCCATTCTTTTTATTACATTTAGGATGCGCCGTGAGGGCTAAGTTACATCCCAATATATTTAGAGTTTTAATAGCAGCATGGCTGAGTTGTAGTTCTAGCTGTGAGCTTTATATCAGGACAAACATGGTGCAGTAATGCTCATTGACAGTCAAGCACCAACAAATGAATGTTGCATGAGGAAATGCAACATTCATTTGTTTGTTTGTTAGACGTCAAAGATGCACACAATGTGTTTTGGTGATTAACACTGACAGTAAACCGAACTTAAGTTTGTCACAAGAAGATTCCACACGTCACTCTAACCTGCACTTGTATAATTAGATTTAGCACAGTACCGCTTTTTATGTTGTCCTAATAATACATCAGATGGGCGGAGGACTTGCATGTCTCGTGGCTCTTTGGTGTGTCTGATGAAATACAGAGAAACAACAGAGAGGAGAGTACATGTGCATTTAGAGGAAGTTCTTGCTTAGAAATAATCTTTGAAGGCTTAATGATCCGTTAGTCTCGATCCCTCTATTGTTTCAGACCATTTTCTTAAATTCTCTCTCCCAACCTGTCACATCTGTGTCTACCAACTCTTCCCTCCCGTTGTCTCCTCTGCGTCAACACTGCACATTCTGTACTTTTTTTTTTATTTTTTATTTTTATTTTTTTTAATTCATCTATTCTCTTGCCTTCCTCCAATCACAAAGGGACGACCCAGAGAACGACAGCAGCGAGCTGCCGACAGCCAAGGAGTATTTCCGGGATCTCTACCACCGGGTGGACGTCATCTTCTGTGACAAGACCATCCACAACGACCCAGGCTTCGTCGTCACGCTCTCTAACCGCATGAACTATTTTCAGGTATGCACTGTTTTCAGGTATGGGTCATCCATTGGATGAATGTTTGAAGTTTTGGGGGAATTAAAGATGTAATTTCTGTATGTTTGCAGCAGCTTGTGTGAGTAAATTACATTAAATGAACTGAATTGTTTTTCTATTCTTAATGTACATACTGATATTAAACCATAACAAAGAAGTGTCCAAATGTATTGTGCCCTAAAACAGACACTGATGAACTCTGTCAGGCTGTGCTGATCCCCACTTGTAATGTTTGTTTGTTTGTTTGTTTGTCAGGTGGCCAAGACCGTAGCTCAGAGGTTGAACACTGATCCAATGCTGCTGCAGTTCTTCAAGTCACAGGGGTAGGAGGCTTGTCTCATCCACACACACACACACACACAGATAAGTCTTGATAATTTCAGTTGATCAGTGATGTTGACACAGACCCAACAAGTGCAAGAAATGATACAATGTGGTTTTATTTAATTAATTCATATTTAATTTAATATTCCTCTCCTGTGATATTTCCCCTTTTATAGACATGGAACATAACGATTAATAATAAGTAAACTGAAAGAAAGTAAAGACTGGTTTCAGTATACTTAACGTCCACATGTACATAAAGCGTCTTTATGTCAATACTTCTCCATATTTTCCCTTTTACGTACACGTTCCCGGTCACGCTTGACGTATAGAAACGTGGTGTACATTTATATATCGTGTTATTATTCTCACAGCTTGTGTCATGTTTGCCTTTGATCTGATTACTTGCAGTTGTCAGTAGAAATGTTGCGTAACCTGTCCCCCCCCCCCCCGTCCCCCCCACCTTTCTTTGTTGTTTTCCTCTAACTCCTCCCACTCTGCCTCCCTCCTCCCCCCCCCCCCCCCTCCATTCTTCCTCTATTCTGCATCTCGCTGAATTTTTTCGTCTTCCCCTTCTGTTTCCGTCTTCTCCCTCTTTTTCTCTCCTTGTCCACTTGCCTCTTTTCTCTCCTCTTCTTCTTTCTTCCGCCCTCTTGTTTCTCTTCTCCTGTCATTCTTCTTCACTCCCCTTGGTCGTCCTCCCCCCCTGCCTGGTGGTGTGGTGGCCAGGTACAGGGACGGTCCAGGGAATCCTCTCAGACACAACTATGAGGGAACGCTGCGGGACCTGCTGCAATTCTTCAAGCCTCGGCAGCCCAAGAAGCTCTACTATCAGCAGGTAGGGAGGCTTCAGGGGGGTTTCTGTTTTCTTTCCCACAAGTTTTTGGAAGTGTGTTTTGGCCCACGACGGATGCTTTTGTGCCAAAAGAGTAGCTTTTATGTTTCAAGCTCAGTCTTTCTTTCATTTGTTGTTTTTCACTGTTTCTCATGTTGCTGATCATCTTTTATTTCATTCAGACCTGGTTGAAGTTTCTCAAGTGTGAGAATTCGCTGCATTTCTTGGTCTTACATTATAGTAAATGTAATATTTTTGGCTTTTGGACTGAAAGTAAGACATTTATTGTCTTTTAACTTGTGCCCTAAGATATTTTGATGGCCTTTGTTTCACTGTTTTGTAATGTTTTTTTTTTTTTAGACCAAACGACTAATTAATTAAGCTTGGAAATAACTGGCAGATTAATCAATAACGAAAATAATTGCAGCCCTACTTTCAGTGTTCATAAATATTTCCAATTGTGCATTTCTCTCTGGAAAATGATTTTGTGTCTTCTGTCAGAATGAGGTCTGATTGATACTGAATCGGTGTTCTTTCTGCTTTCCTGAAAGTTTAGTTTCATTCAGACTATAAAGTAAAGCAGATTTATGTCAAACACTGAACCAGTAGACACTTATAGATGTTATTACGGCGAGGTGTCTTCTCCTGTCGGGCCATGTGATGGTTATGATGGCTTAGTTCACATTAGAGGGTCCAGGCTAAGCTAACGAAGCTCAGACTACCGTAGCCAGCTGTCAGCGACGGTAGAAAAACAAAAACCTCCAGAAAAGAGGAGTCAGCCGTGCATCATCTTCCTTCAGTGTATTATCTTCTAAATATAACTGTCTCTGTGGCAGTTTATAATGTTATCTGAAGCAGATACAGACAAGTGTGAAGGGAGATTCTTCTGCAAATGGAAGATGCAGTATTGTGTGCACAAAATAAATTGAATTGTAGATGAAACCTGTGGGATCGGTGTTACGGCAACACATTGGATCTCAGGGTGTTGATAACGTCTCGCTCTCTCTCTCTCTCGATGCGTCCACAGTTGAAGATGAAGATAACAGACTTTGAGAACAGGAGGAGTTTTAAATCCATATGGCTCAACAGCCAGTTCAGAGAGGAGGTAACGCAGAGACGCACTCTGAGCATTATGTGACTACACGCATTCCAATCTGTGGCTTCTGCAGACGTGAACTGTGCCCGTGTGTTTGCAGGAGATCACCCTCTACCCTGACAAGCACGGCTGTGTGCGGGACCTGTTGGAAGAATGTAAAAAGGCCGTGGAGCTCTCTGAAAAAGGCTCCGACAAGCTCAGGTAGCCACCGCGTGTGCGTGTGTGTGTGTGTGTGTGTGTGTGTGTGTGCGTGTGTGCGTGTGTGCGTGTGTGTGTGTGTGTGTGTGTGTGTGTGTGTGTGTGTGTGAGATGAATACATCACTCTATGAATCTAAGGCCTCAGCCTGCAGATTCCTCTCATTTTTATAAAGTCGTCTTTAACAACTCTGAGATTTTAATATCTGCTTCAAATGAATATTTTTGTTGACCAGTTTTTAACGTTTTCCCTGTTTTAATGGGACTTCATGCTCTGAGAACCAGTTCCTCCTCTAAAAGCTGCTGTGGAGCATTAATCCCTCCTCTCTTTCTCCCCCTGCAGGCTGTTGGAGATAGTAAGCTATAAAATCATCGGGGTTCACCAGGAGGACGAGCTGCTAGAATGTTTATCTCCGGCCGCCAGCCGCACCTTCAGAATAGAGGTATGTGCGTGTGAGGCGTTCCCTGCGTGTCTGTTTGGAGCGTCTCCTCTCTTTCAAGTTTATTTTTACTCATTTTTCCTCCTTTAGTCACTCCTCCTCTTCAAAGGCCCCTCAGCGCGACGCTGACGCTTTGTCACACATCATTTTTAGGGTTTTACTTCTTCAAAATAATCTGAGAGTCTGAAGCACTTAAACGATGACTGTACTGAATGTCGACCTAAAAGGACAAATAGATTTGTTTGTAATTGTTGTATAAACAGCCCCAGTAACACACGCGTGTGTAAACAAGAGGGAGAGCAACATGTTTTTTGGACTGCAGTGAAAATGTCAACAAATCTAGATTGAAGCTGAATATTTGTGTTGGATAAAAGCATGCTGAGAAATGATTACACTTTACATCTTTTTAGTACATTTTGGGACTTTACAATGCCATGTAGTTACTGTCAATGTTTGGATCACACCAGCCACCCCTGCAATCTAATTCTCCAAATGTTATAATACAGATAACAGTGAAACATAATCTTTATGTGCAGCCGTGCAGAAGTACTGGCTTTAAACGGAATGAACAGAAGAATGTGGATGTTGAGTTTAGAATTTGAGTGTCAGCGTTGTGAAAGAAGTGTTAAACTGCTCCGTACCGCCGTAACTTCAACTAGTCTGTACTGAGTGCACCTGTCTGAGAAGACGTCAAACACTGGAAGTCAACAACAGAATTTGTGAAACTGCTCTTTAAAGTAGCTGACTACACACTGGAGGCCTTTCCACTCATATTTTATATCCAGTAATGGGAGTAGCCTGCTCTAAAGTTAGTAACCGACACAAACTAAATCTCTCTCTCTCTCTCTCTCTCTCTCTCTCTCTCTCTCTCTCTCTCTCTCTCTCTCATCGT